TGAAATGAAAAAGAAAGAACAAATGTGAAGAAAAAGGTGATGAGGATAAAGGAATGAAAAACGAAAGAAAAAATAGGAAGAAAAAGAAGATGAGAAACATGGAATGAAAAAGGAAAGAAAAAATAGGAAGAAAAAAGAGATAAGAATAATGGAATGAAAACAGAAAGGAAAAATAGGAAGACAAAAGAAGATGAGAATAATGGAATGAAAATAAAAGAAAAATAGGAAGAAAAAGAAGATAAGAATAGTGGAATGAAAAAGGAAAGAAAAAATAGGTCGAAAAAAGAGATAAGAATAGTGGAATGAAAAAGAAAAGAAAAAATGAAAAGAAAAAGGAGATAAGACTAATGGGATGAAAAAGGAAAGAAAAAATAGGAAGGAAAAGTGAGAAGAATAATGGAATGAAAAACGTAAGAAAAATAGGAAGAAAAAGGAGATAAGAGTAATGGAATGAAAAAGGAAAATATAGGAAGAAAACGAGATAGGAATAATGGAATGAAAACAGAAAGGAAAAATAGGAAGAAAAAAAGATAAGAATTATGGAATGAAAAAGGAAAGACAAAATAGGTCGAAAAAGGAGAGAAGAATAATTGAATGAAAACGGAAAGAAAAAGTAAAAGTAAAGTAAAGTAAAAGTAAAGTAAAGTAAAAGCAGATAAGAATTATGGAATGAAAAAGGAAAGAAAAAATAGGAAGGAAAAATTGATAAGAATTATGGAATGAAAAAGGAAAAAGAAAAATACGAAGAAAAAGGAGATAAGGATAATGAAATGGAAAAGGAAAGAAAAAATAGGAAGAAAATGGAGATAAGAATAATGGAATGAAAAAGGAACGAAAAATAGGAAGAAAAAGGAGATAAGAATAATGGAATGAAAACAAAGTAAAAATAGGAAGAAAAATAAGATGAGAATCATGGCATTAAACAGGAAAGAAAAATAGGAAGAAAAAGGAGATAGGAATAATGGAATGAAAACAGAAAAGAAAAATAGAAAAAAATAAGGAAGAAAAAAGAAGATGAGAATCATGGAATGAAAAAGCAAGGAAAATATGAAGAAAGAGGATATAAGACTAATGGAATGAAAAACGAAAGAAAAAATAGGAAGAAAAAGGAGATGCGAATATTGGAATGAAAAAGAAAAAAATGAAAGGAAAAAGGAGAGAAGAATAATAGAATGAAAAAAAAAGAAAAAAAGGATGTAAAAGCAGACAAGAATAATGGAATGAAAAAGGAAAGATAAAATCGGAGAAAAAAGGAGATAAGAATAATGGAATAAAAAAGGAAAGAAAAATAGGAAGAAAAAGTGATCAGAATAATGAAATGAAAAAGGAAAGAACAAATGTGAAGAAAAAGGTGATAAGGATAATAGAATGAAAAACGAAAGAAAAAATAGGAAGAAAAAAGTGATGAGAGTAATGGAATGAAAACAGAAAGGAAAAATAGGATGAAAAATAAGATAAGAATAATGGAATGAAAAAGGAAAGAAAAATAGGTTGAAAAAGCAGAGAAGAACAATGGAATGAAAAAGGAAAGAAAAAAAGAAAGTAAAAGCAGATAAGAATAATTGAATGAAAAAGGAAAGAAAAATACGAAGAAAAAGGGATAAGGATAATGAAATGGAAAAGGAAAGAAAAAATACGACAAAAAGGAGATAAAAATAATGGAATGAAAAAAGAAAGAAGAAATAAGAAGAAAAAGAAGATAACAATACTTGAATGAAAAAGGAACGAAAAATAGGAAAAAAGAGGAGATAAGAATAATGGAATGAAAACAGAAAGGAAAAATAGGAAGAAAAAAGAAGATGAGAATAATGGAATGAAAATAAAAGAAAAATAGGAAGAAAAAGGAGATAAGAATAGTGGAATGAAAAAGGAAAGAAAAAATAGGAGGAAAAGGAGATAAGAATAGTGGAATGAAAAAGAAAAGAAAAAATGAAAAGAAAAAGGAGATAAGACTAATGGGATGAAAAAGGAAAGAAAAAATAGGAAGGAAAAGTGAGAAGAATAATGGAAAAAAAACGTAAGAAAAATAGGAAGAAAAAGGAGATAAGAGTAATGGAATGAAAAAGGAAAATATAGGAAGAAAACGAGATAGGAATAATGGAATGAAAACAGAAAGGAAAAATAGGAAGAAAAAAAGATAAGAATTATGGAATGAAAAAGTAAAGACAAAATAGGTCAAAAAAGGAGAGAAGAATAATGGAATGAAAACGGAAAGAAAAAGTAAAAGTAAAGTAAAGTAAAAGTAAAGTAAAGTAAAAGCAGATAAGAATTATGGAATGAAAAAGGAAAGAAAAATAGGAAGGAAAATTGATAAGAATTATGGAATGAAAAAGGAAAGAAAAATACGAAGAAAAAGGAGATAAGGATAATGAAATGGAAAAGGAAAGAAAAAATAGGAAGAAAATGGAGATAAGAATAATGGAATGAAAAAGGAACGAAAAATAGGAAGAAAAAGGAGATAAGAATAATGGAATGAAAACAAAGGAAAAATAGGAAGAAAAAAGAAGATGAGAATCATGGCATTAAACAGGAAAGAAAAATAGGAAGAAAAAGGAGATAGGAATAATGGAATGAAAACAGAAAAGAAAAATAGAAAGAAAAAAGAAGATGAGAATAATGGGATGAAAAAGGAAAGAAAAAATAGAAAGAAAAAGGAGTTAAGAGTAATGGGATAAAAAAGGAAAAAATAGGAAGAAAACGAGATAGGAATAATGGAATGAAAACAGAAAGGAAAAATAGGAAGAAAAAGGAGATAAGAATAATGGAATAAAAAAGGAAAGAAAAAATAGGAAGAAAAAGGAGATAAGAATAATGGAATGATAAAGGAAAGAAAAATAGGAAAAAAAGAATACAACAAATATTAGTTAGAAAAGTAAAAGTAAATTCAAGAAGAAATGGAAAATATTGTTAAAAAAAATAAACCAAAAAAACAAAATAATTGAAAAATAGTGAAATATATGTAGAATGAAAAAGAAAAAAAACTGAAATAGGAAGAATAAGGAAAAAAGGAAATTAAGAAAAATTAAAAATATCAAAAATTGGAAGAAAAAAAACGAAAATATCGATTGAAGGAAAAAATACAAATATAGGGAAAGAAAATATAAAGAGAAAGTATATAGTGAGAAAAAGGAATAATCAAAAAAGAGAAAAAAGAAAAAATAGGAAAGGACAGAAAAATAGGAAAAACGAAAAAAACATTGGTGTTGAAATTAAAAATATTTATTAAGAAAATGGAAAAAACAAAAATAGGAAGGAAAAAGGATAAATATATGAAGAAAAAGAAAAAATGCCAAAATAGGTAACCAAAAGAAAAAATTATAAAGAAAATATACCAATAGGTAGAAAAGTAAGAAAACAAAAAATAGTTAAAACAAAAAAAACAAAAAAAACAAAAACACGTAGATAATAGAAAAAATAAAAGAGGAAAGGAATATACAAAGATGGGGAGAAAAAAATTGGGAAAAAAGGAATAAGCAAAATTAGAAAGAAAAAGAAAAAAGCAAAAATAGGAAAAAAGTTGAAGACAAATATAGAAAGAAATTTTTTTTAAAAAATGGTAATAAAGGAAAAAATGAAAATATTGAGTAAAAAGAAAAAATATACATATTGTAAGAAAAAGTAAAAAAACGAAACTTAGGATTAAAGGGAAAAACAAAAAATAAGATAAAAAGGAATAAAGAAAAACAGGACGAAAAGAAAAGCAAAAAATAGTCAGAAAAACGAAATAAACAAACATAGGTCGAAGAAGGAAAACACAAATATAAGAAGAAAGATTAAAATAAAATAGGAAGTAAAAAACAAAAAAATACGAAAAAAAAAATAATACGAAAAGAAAAGAAACAAAACATAGAAGAAAAAGGAAAAGAGAAGTAAAAGGAGAAAAGCGAAAACAAATATACAAAGAAAAATGAAGAAACGAAAATAGATAGAAAAAAAATATAGGGAGAAAAAGGAAAAAATAGGGAGAAAAAGAAAAAAAGCAAATATAGGAAAAAAGGAGAAGAAGAAATAGAAAATCGAGAAACACATCAATGGAAAAAACAAAAATAGGAAGAAAAGAAAAAGAAAAAATATAAAGAAAAAGGAAAAATCAAAATAGAAAGAAAAAGAAAAGAAAAATAGAAAGAAAAATGAAAAAATTATGAATGAAAACGAAGAATACAAAAACAGTTAGACAAAAGAAAAACCAAAACAGAGAGAAAAAGGAAAAGCAAAAAATAGGAAGAAAGAGAAAAACAAATATACATAAATAAAGACAAAACAAAAAGAAAAAATATAACACAAAGATCGGAAGGAAAACTTAAAAAAAAAATTGGAAAAGAAAGGATAAACAAAAATAGAAATAAAAATATAAAGTAAAAATAGGAATAAAAGGATAAAGCAAAATTAGGACAAAAAGGAAAAAATAAAAATAGGAAAAAAAGTAAAAAAAAAATGGATTTATGAAGACAAAATAAACTCAGGAAGATAAGTAAAAAAAAAAAAAAAACAGAAATTGGGAGAGAAAGAAAAGTACAAAAATATGAAGAAACAAAAGAAAATGGAGAAAACCAAAATTGGGAGAACAGAGGAAAACATAATAGTGAGAAAAAGCAAAACTAGCCAAATAGGAATAAAATTAAAAAGCAAAGAGTAGAATTAAATGGGAAAAGACATATATGGGAAGGAAAAGGAAAAAAAATATCCAAACTTAGGTAGAAAAAGAAAAAAAGAAAATCAGGAGAAAAAGGAAAAAATAGTTAGAAAATGTGGAAAAATAGGTGCAAGAAAAAGACAAAACAGAAATAGGAAGAATAAGGAAAAAATAAAAAATAGGGAAAAATGAAAATATCCAAAATCGGAAGAAAAGAAAAAACGAAAATATTGATGAAAAGAAAAAACACAAATGTAGGGAAAAAAGGAAGAAAATCAAAATAAGAAGGAAAAGGAAAAAACAAATATAAGGATAAAGGAAAACACCAAAATGTAAAGAAAAACAATTATGGCTAGAAAATGAAATATCAAGAAGAGAGAGAAAAAGGAAAAAAATAGGAAGAAAAAAAGAAAAAAAAATAGGAATAAAGAAAAACAAAAATGGAAGAAAAATACCGAGAAAAAGAGAAATAAACAAAAATAGGAAGAAAAAGGAAAAAACAAAAATAGGAAGGGAAAGAAAAAAATAAGAAAAAAATGAAAATAAACAAAATTAGTTGAAGAAAGTAAAAGAAAATGGGAAAACAAAAGTAGGAAGAAAAATGAAAAACCACAAGAAAATATTTATGGAAATAAACAAAGAAAAAGGAAAAATAGTATGAAAATGGAATAAAACACTCTAGGACGAAAACAAAAAAACAAAAATAGGTTGAAAAAGGAAAAACAAAAACAGGAAAAAAATGAAAAAAAAATAAAAAATAGTTGGAGAAATTAAAAAGCAAAACAAGAAGAAAAAAAAAAAAATCATAAAAAACAAAAATAGGACGAAAAGGGAAAATAGGAAAAAAGCAATAAACACAAAAAGTTAAAAATGGAAAAAAACAAAAAAATTGAAGAAAAAAATAACAAAAATAAGAAGAAAAATTAAATAGGACAAAACATGAATAGGCAGAAAAACCAAAAACAAAAATACGAAGAAAACGGAAAAATAGAAACAAGAATATGTCGAAAAAAAGAAAAAAAAAACAGAAATAGGAAGAAAATGGAAAACTGAAATAGGATGAAATGTAAAAAACAAATGTAGGAAGAAAAAGAAAAGCAATAATAGGAAGAAAATGAAAAATCAAAAATAAGGAGAAAATGGAAAAAAAAACAAAAATATGGAAAAAGGAAAGCAAAAATAAGAAGAAAAATAACAAAAATGACGTGAAAAAAATTTTAAAAAATAAGGTAAAAAAAGGAAAAACAAATATAGGAAGAAAAAGAAAAAATAGGAGGAAAAGGAAAAATAGGAAGGGAAAGAAAAAAATAGAAAAAAATGTAAAAAAAATAAAAATCGGTTGAGAAAATTAGGAAGAAAAAGTAAAAAACCAAAATTAGGTAAAAAAAATAAAATAAAATCAGGTGGAAAAGGAAAAAATAGTTAGAAAAATAAAAAAAAACAAAATCGAAAATGGGAAAAAAATAAGTGGAATAAAAAAAAACAGAAATAGAAACAAAAAGGAAAAAAACAAAAATATCAAGAAAAATGAAAATCAAAAAAAGGAAGAAAATGGAAAAAAATGAAAATAGGAAAAAAGGAAAAAACACAAAAAAGGTAGAAATGGAAAAACAAAAATTTGGAGAAAAAATCAACAAAAATAGGAAGAAAAATGAAAAAAAAAAAAAAATATGTAGAAATAGGAAAAACCCGAATACGTCGAAAATAAAAATTAGCAAAAATACAAAAAAAAAAAAAAAACGGAAAAAATAGAAAGAAAAATATGTAGAAAAAGAAAAAACAGAAATAGGAAGAAAATGAAAAAAGGTAAAATAGGATGAAATGTAAAAAATAAAAATAGGCAGAAAAAGGGAAAAAAATAGGAAGAAAATGAAAAATCGAAAATCGGGAGAAAAATAAAAAATAAAACACTTAGCAAAAGAAAAAAAAGAAATTGGTAAAAAAAGGAAAAAAACAGGAATAAGTTACGAATGAATTGAGCATTAGAAGAAAGAAAAAAGGAAGGAAGGAAGGAAGGAAGGAAGGAAGGAAGGAAGGAAGGAAGGAAGGAAAATAAAAGAAAAGTAGATGCCGAAAAAATGGAACTGAGTATTAATAAAAAAAAAAAAGAAAAAATGGCAGACATAATGAAAGAAAGAAGGAAAGAAGCAAACGAAGTCGAGAAAAAGAAATTAAAAAATCTTAAATAAGGAGTTGAGAATGAAAATAGATAAAAAAAAATAAATAGAAATTGAGAATTAAACGAAAGTCAAATTGGATAGAAACTGAGAAAATAAAAAAAGAAGTAAACAAATAAAAAAATATTCTTCAATTTGTAATGGAAAAATAAAGAATGAATGAATCTGAATGAATGAAGTTGAGAAAGAGAAGAAAAGAAAATAACGAAATAGGGGCAAATCATGAAAAAGAATGAAAAAAGAAAGAAATGAGCAAAGTTGAAAAAACAATGAAAGAAAAGGAAGGAGGTTTTAAATGGAAATTGACAATTACAAGAAAGAATGAAATAAACGATGTTAAGTAGAGAAAGAAAGGGAAAAGAACATTTAAAGAAGAAAATCAAAAATTGAAAAGTGAGATGTTGTGAGTTTCCCGCGTGTCGGTGTATGAATCAAGACAAACACAGTTGTAGAGGAAAATACTGGTATATTCATAAAAGCAATTAACAATAGAGTGATTAGTAGAACGAAGGTTGGTTAGTACGAAACAATATCCAAAGTCTATAGTCCAACGGTATGTACCGGGTAAGCTTATCTGGACTGCTCACGCTGACTCTCTCTCTCTGACGCTCCCCTCACTCTCTCTCCAGAGCTGACTTATATAAGAGGGGCCAGTCCATTACTAGTTAGAAAGGTGGCTGCGCCCCAACAAAAAGTAAATTAAAAAAAACATAAATAGAAAGAAACTCAGTCGATAGAAGTAAAAAAAAGGAAAAGTATAAAACAGTCAAAGAAAGAAAGAATGAATGAATGAAGAAAGGTAAAAAGCAACTGTGAAAAGAATAATAGAACAACCAATTAAACGAAAATTAGAAACGGATAATTAAAAAAAGAAAAGAAAAAAAGAAAAGAATTTGAGAAAAGAAAAAGAAGAAAATTACAGATATCACAAATTCAAAGGAAGAAAGAAATAAAAATAAGAGAAAAAGAAGAAAATAAATGAAAATTATTAATCAATTGGTAGTATAAAAAGAATGAATGAATGAATAAATGAAACAAAAAATAATTAAAAAATAGCTTAAAATAAAAGAATTTAGAATTATGAGAAAGAAAAAAGAAATAGGAAAGAAACAAGTTACTAAAGTCGGGAAAAGAATAAAAGAAAAGCAAAAAGTAGAAATTAAGAAATTGAGAATTAAAAGAAAGAACGGACGAAAGAAAATTTGAAATATAAGAGAAAAAAATACGAAAAAACCAAACGTAAGAATTAAAAGAGGTAAAAAAAAAAGAAAAAAGAAAGAAATGAATTTAAGAAATAAAAAGAAAACAATAATAAAATGACTGACATCGCAAATTCCGAATTAAAAGAAACAAAGATAGACAGAAAAGAAAAAGAAAGAAAAATAGAAAGAAAGAAAACAAACTGCTTAAAGTGGAATAGAAGAAAACATGAAAAATATTAATTAATTTGGAATTTTTAAAGATACAAAGAAGATAACGAATTAGAGAAAAGAAAATACAAAAGAAAATGACAGACATCACGAATTAAAAGAAAGAAAGAAAGAAAGAAAGAATGAAGAAAGAAATGAAAAAGAAGTGAAGAATATATAAAGAAAAATGAAGAAAGAAAACAGAAAGGAATGTAAAAGAAACAAGTGAAGAAAGAAAGAAAGAAAGAAAGAAAGAAAGAAAGAAAGAAAGAAAGAAAGAAAGAAAGAAAAATGAAGAAAGAAAACAGAAAGGAATGTAAAAGAAACAAGTGAAGAAAGAAAGAAAGAAAGAAAGAAAGAAAGAAAGAAAGAAAGAAAAATATATTAATAATTATGAGAAATAATAATAAAATTTGAAAAGGAAGTATGAAAAAAAACAAGGAAGAAAAATAAATGAATGAAATATAAGTTTTTAAATCATGTCTAAAACAAGGGAGAACCGAAATATAAGTAAAACAAACGTGATCAGAAGTTTCGAAAGAACACAGAATGAAAAAAGGTGACACGAACCTAAGTCGTGTGTAAAAACTTATTTGCCATATTGCAATAGGAGAAAAACAATGACGTTCTTGTTAAACGTCGCGATAGTTGAAGAGACGAAAAGGGCAGCAAACTGGTTTTTCACATAACCTCAGAGGAAGAGCCTACACTTATATCTCTACATCTAAGATGAAGGCATTTTTTATTCGTTAATAGGAAGAGGTGGGGGTGCAAGGAGACTGCTATTATTTCCTATGAGCGTTGATATAAACGACTTGATGAGGAGACCCTGGCAGAATGTTCATTTTTTTAATCATTTCACCCCAAGCAAGGTAATAATGCCACTAAGACGCAACGGGTTATTGAGGGTGGAAGAGAATGAGAAGACTTTAGTGAGGGGGAAAGAGAATGAGAAGACTTTAGTGAGGGGGAAAGAGAATGAGAAGACTTTAGTGAGGGGGAAAGAGAATGAGAAGACTTTAGTGAGGGGGAAAGAACAATAAATAAACAAAATTCAAAAAAGCAGATGACGATTGACTTTACATTTAAATTTTTGAAGATTGTAGATGGCAGGGAAGTTAGAAATAGGAAGATAGTTCCACAGATAAGAAGTGCGAGAAAAGAAACTATTAGAATTGAACTGGCGTTTGCATGTAGCTATTTCAACAGTAAAACTATGAGACCAAATTACCAACCTAGTAGTACGCTAAAATTCATACAGTCAAGGTACCAAGGAGGAGAGCGATATTTATTCGTAAATATTTACAAAGTGTGGCACAAGGCCAAAATGGGGAATGAGGAAACGGACGGTTTTCTTCTGTCTTAACTTTAAACTAAGCTAGCCACGAACACTGACCCAAACATAACATAATATTCATAACACCAAAACAACGCACTCTTATTTACTTTCTTATTACATTCACCATAATACCTCATTGTCTCTATGAAAGTCCTAACTAGTCCCCATATGTACAAGTCATTGTCTGTGTGTGTGTGGGGGGGGTAAACAAAAATTTAAAAACTAGCCCCAATGAGTATTTAAAATATGAAAACAAAACTATTTGCAAGAAACCAAATAAAAAAAATGTTAGCAATACCCCCCACCCCCACCCCAAGGAGGAGAGATCATTAGAACAACTGCCATGAAAATATTTATAGAAAAGACAGAGGGAAACCACGTCACGGCGGTGGGAAAGTAAATACCTGGAGATGTCAGGACCGATAACTTTACAAACCCTTTTTTAGATTTTGTCGAGTGTCTCTGGATGTATTGCAGGAGCTCAAGACCATGTGGAATATGAAGGAAATGAAAGAGCATCAAACCAGATCTGGGAAAAAATGACAAAGAGACTTAACTAAAGACACAGCTTTTTACACTCAGCTAAACCACTGAATAACATAACTACTAGTCAGCGTCTGTACCTGTGATACAACCGACAACGTAGAACACGGGCTCTTCTTCAACCCTACAGAATCCCTCCTCTCTGGCTCCAGTGACGCCTGGTTCATCTGGTCCTACCAAAATGGCTTCTGAACAACTGTTGGTTTTTGGAGAGCAAATCTTCAGAAATGGAGATGTGCCACCAGTGAAGATCCCAACTGACAATGCGGGAAATCACAAACTATGAGTTATCTTCTAGATTGCACCAATCTTGAAGATCTATGCACATTTAATGATCTTGAGACCTTAACAACCCCCAGGCAAAGCGCCCTGGGCAACAATGGATGGATGTGCCACAGGTGATGATCCCAACTGCCAATACGGGAAACTATGAGGCATCTTCTAGTTTGCCCCAATCTTGAAGGTCTATGCACATTTAATGATCTTGAGACCTTAACACCCCCAGGCAAGGCGCCCTGGGCAACAATGGATGGATGTGCCACAGGTGCTGATCCCAACTGCCAATACGGGAAACTATGAGGTATCTTCTAGTTTGCCCCAATCTTGAAGATCTATGCACATTTAATGATCTTGAGAACTTAACACCCCTAGGCAAGGCGCCGTGTGCAACGCTAGATGGATGTGGTGTAGCGATTCAATAAGAAAACCAGAAACAGATATGGCAGCAATATTCAACAGTAAGACGATAAAACCTAGTTGCCAATCTATTATTAAGCTTAAATTTACGCGGTCGAGGTACCAAGGAGAAGAGATCATGAGAACATCAACCATAAAAATATTTATAGAAAAGACAGAGGGAAGCCAGGTAACGGCCGTGAAAAAATGTGAATGTATCGAGATGCCAGCTCAGGGCCGATAACATAAGAAACTCATCTTTGGATTTTGTCAAGAAATTCGAGATATATAGCGAGAACGCCAGACTGGATATGGCAGCAATATTCAATGTACGGTCGAATGAAAGATTTTTAAATATGTAAGATGGATTCTGACGATAAAAATTGTCTGGCACCAGCATTCTTAGAAGCAGGCCTATCAATTGATTGAATATAATCTCCCTACTTCATGTCAATAGAAAACGTTGACCAAGAAGGCGCAATGAGTTGCTCTCCTGGAGGTTAGCATCAGCCGTGGTGATTAAGGGCAGAAACAATTCTCTATGATGATTAAAGGATAGTAGTTTCGTTTTGGAAGCGTTAAAATTTACAAGCCATTTCTTGCTCCACTTAACAACTTAGGCCATTTTCGAGAGCAACTGCCAGTGTCAAATCTATCAAACTTACTATTGAGACAAGAGTAAATAGTTGTGTCATCAGCATATATACATTAGTTGGTAACAGATAATATCGGGAAGGTCGTTGATGAAGCTGAAAAACAACCCCGGTCCCTTAATATAATGTTATATATTATGCATCAAATTTTAAAATTCTATTCTGTGTCTATTTCAAGGTCTCGGGAGCATTAATATAGCAGCTTCTAATCTGACACAGAAAATGAAAAGGTATGCCATGCTCTTGACACTACTACCAATGTACATCGAAGAAAACGGCGGCCTACCTCATCAAACCAAGCGACAGCGCGTCGCGTGTATCCTACGACGGAAAATGTGGCGAAAAAGGAAATTACTTACCAAAAAAAAAAAAAAAAGGGTGCGTATCCCGCATGACATGCTGAAGACGGAATATTTAAATTAAAAACAAGTCCGTCAGAGGAGTCGCTATAAAACTATTTTGATATGCAAAAATTGAGCGTCCTCTTCCAGTTGTCGATGTTCGAGTCTGAACTTACAGTGATTTATTCTCTGTGTTGTGGAAGTAATCTGGGACAAATATTTCCTTTGCAATCCCAGAATGCTTACATGATGACAAAGTCTCGAAGATAATGCAAGGACGAATAATAGATTTAAAAACGTGCAAGCTGGATTCAACGTGCAAGATTATAACATGCAAGTTGGCATCAACATTTACAAGTCATTTCTTGCTCCAGTTAACAACTGATTGGAGGTCATTTTCGAGAGCAGCTGCCAGTTTTTTTTGTCGGATCTCTCGGACTTACTATTAAGACAATAATAAAGTGTTGTGTCATCAGCATATATAGCTAGTTGAGAACTTATGACATCTGGAGGGCGGTTGATTTAGATGGGAGACATCGTAGGAATTATTTTGATAGATATATATATTTCTTTAATGAATTTTCCGAAGTAACCAACCAAACTCATCTACCTAATAGGTTTTACTAGTTTCAACTAGTAATTATCAATATTTACCAGTATTCAAATATTCCTTATGAAATACTAACATTGAAGACAACACTCAGAGGTGACAGAGTGTTGTCTTCAATGTTCACTTTTATATTTATATTTACATACGCTCTATCTCTGATATTGAGCACTTTATCCCATAAATATATAGCACACCTTAAAACGATATGTCTTCATATATATATATATATATATATATATATATATATATATGAAGTTGTATGGATATGAGTTTGACCCTGGGTTTCATGCTTTTACGATCATCAGACAAACTAGTTTATTTTTTTAAATTGGATCTATTTATGCTTCTTTGACTATGTTTGGTGGCATGAAGGGCTGATCTAGTTCTGTGTTTGTGTGGCTTGGCACTATCATACGCATACACACATACATACAGGTGTACGCATTTTAGTTCACACCAACACATCCACATAAGCAATTCAAGGCTAGACACAGCTACATATCCATGCGTTCAAATGTTATTAATACTGTTTATTTTAAAACAGAGCATTTACTTAAATATTTGTATCTATAAAAAGAATGTATGAACATAAAAATGTCTTAAAATAATTGTCGGACTATATATATATATATATATATATGTGTGTGTGTGTGTGTGTGTGTGTGTGTGTTTACACACACACACACACACACACATATATATATATATATATATATATTGCCCACAGTTAATATTTAAATGAATACAATAGTTAATATTTAAATGAATACAATTCCCAATACTGAGAAAGATTTTCGCTCCATCTTTACCTCTTGCCTGGGTCTTCTTTTTTTTTTTTCGTTTTGTTTTTCTATTTACATAATAATTATTTCGAGACCATTCCCTGTGTTCCGATAAAGATTAGCATGACTGTCACTTTTATTCTCCTCAACGTACTCAGCTCACTGAAAAAGTCAAGATATTTATTTTATTTATTTATTTTATTTTTATTTTATTTTTATTTTTTTATTTTTATTTTTTTAGTGCTACTCTGATCTACCAGCACGGCCAAATCCACTGAGGTGTTTTCTTTTTGTTCAATATGACCAGATTCGGTCAACTAGCCTGGATTCGGTTATGCATTTGAACATTATTATTAGTAGTAGTAGTAGTAGTAGCTGTAGTAGCAATAGTAGTATTTATACCATATGATAATGGTGGCTGGCAAAAAGTTTATTTTTAGATCACCTCTCTTAATTTAAAAAAAAACACTTAATTTTTCTTTCCACCAACAGGCTGTATCCAGTACTTTCTGAAGTGTCCTCGCTGTTCCGAGCAGTAAA